CCTTTAACTACTAAATGTACAACATTTAGCTCTGTCTTGCATCTTAAGGTAATTGTAAACTCTCACCTTGTAAAACAACCAATTCAATTTAAATTATAAATGAAAGGCAAAATATTTGTGTATAGATATAAAAAAAATTGTAAATACTTTTTTTCCCTTTTTTATAAGTGACCACATTCTTTCTGTTCTCAGCTGCATAGGATCTTCCCAGTGAATGTCTGTGCGGAAGGGGGGGCTGTCAGCAAATGTCAGATCATTGGAGGAGAGCAGGCTGAGTTCCCAGCACATCTAAAGAACTGACCACACTACTCTCCTGCCTAGTGTGGTCAGTTTTTAATAGGAAAGCAGAGGGACTGGCAAGAACACCAGGGATTTCACCCAAAGTAACTAACACAAAGAGAACAGGATACTTTTTCATATAACAACATGATATGTGTGATTTACATATTCCAAATCCAAGCAAATGGTTAAATGTCTAGCAATAGATTAAAATTACCAGTGTAGCCCTAAGCGAAATCTCCCCAGCAGGGACATACAACCAGGGCTTGTTTTCTTATAGAATATGTGCAGGAACTCCCCCTTCTGAGTCACAGTTCTTGTCTACACCCCCTACATACCTCCAAACACTATTTCTTGGTTCCACTCCCTACCCACCTCTAAACACCATCCCTTGGTTTTGCCCCCTACCCACCTCCAAACAACATCCCTTGGTTCCGCCCCTACCCACCTCCAAACACCATCCCTTGGTTTTGCCCTCTACCCACCTCTGGACACATCCCTTGGTTCCGCCCCCTAACCACCTCCAAAACACCATCCCTTGGTTCCGCCCCTACCCACCTCCAAACACCATCCCTTGGTTCCACCCCCTACCCACCTCCAAACACCATCCCTTGGTTCCACCCCTACCCACCTCAAAACATCATCCTTTGGTTCTACCCCTACCCACCTCCAAACACCAACCTTTGCTTCCACCCCTACCCACCTCCAAACACCATCCCTTGGTTCCACCCCCTACCCACCTCCAAACACCATCCCTAGGTCCACCTCCTACACACCTAACAGTACCGCCCCTTTTAGGATACAGAACCAATTATCATTTTAAGTAATTTGTATGCAACTTGCTATTGATAACAAGAAAAGCAGTAAAATAGATCTTCTGCAGCCAGCAATAATAGACCCCCAGCAACAATAGATTCCCACAGCAACAATAGATCCACCCCAGCAACAATAGACTTCTGGCAGCAGAAACAGATCTCCCAGCAGCCAGCATCATAAACCCCCCGGCAGCCAGCAATATTGGAATCCTCCCTCAACATTAGATCCTTCCCAGCAACAAATGACCACCCAGAAACATAAGACCCTCCCTAGAAACAATATATTCCCCACCAGCAACAATAGACCCCCATGCAAAAATAGTTCCCCTCCAGCAACAATAGACCCCATCCCCAGCAGCAACAATAGAACCCCTGGCAACAATAGACCCCTCACGCTATAATAAATCCCCTCCTGCAACCAGCATCAACAGACCCTCCAGCACATCCCAGCACCTCTTGCGTTCCTGCAGACAAAAAGCCCTGTATACAATAAAAAAAATGGCTGTGCATCTATTCCTTCTCCATATCATATACAACTTATAAAAATGACTGAAGGTCAACTTTTAAAATATCTTAGGATTCAGGTACAAAATGAAAACCAAAATATAAAAGGATACGCTTCACCTTTCGTAACATGTTAAACCCATATTCAGGGTGTAACATGCAGCATGTTACAAACAGACTGGCCCCCGTACCCCCCCCCCCCCCGATCCGAGTTGTGACAGCTAATGGGGGATCCTCTCCTCTAGCTAGCTGTCACAATTTTAAAAAAGCTTCGCCCGTCCAGGCGTGTCACCCATTCACAGTATTCTGTGAATGAGAATACTACAAGTTCCGACATCCCTTGCAGCTGTTGGCTTGCAGTTCTCAATGAACTACCACAGCGCTGTAGAGTACCGTGGTAGTTCATTGAGTTTTCCTGTCAGTAAGTATCTGCTTGCCCATACGAGGTGTACGGGCACACAGATACACTGACAGGTCTGCAGGAGACCTGCATGGCACCAGCGATCTACTGATCTCTGGTGCAATGCTTTAAAAAAATGTTGTTTTTTTTTTGTTAAAAGGTGAACTTACTGCAAAAAAAAAAATGGCAACCGTCCCAAACTATAACCAACCTTAGCAGCAAGGTGCAAAAGGTGAACTTATCCTTTAACTAAAATGGCCGTTTTATATACTGAGACAGTATATTTCCATGGAGCAAGTAGAATACTAAAGACGTCGTATGCTGGGATTTTTTTTTAGTTCTATGGAGGCGTGAGAAATAAGGTATAATGTTTTAGTAAACTAGTAAACATGTTTTCTTGTAGATTTCCAGAATACGACTGAGAACAATTATTGTATAACAATCTCATCAAGGAACACAGAGAAACAATGAAAGCTTGTTGTGTCGTGTAAAATCACAACAGCATCTTTATTCCACTGCGCTTAAAGCATTACATTTAACAACACAGCAATTTTCCAAGCAGCCACGCTTTCTGCAGCCAACATCTACAGATCTGGGCCCATAATAGGCTAACACCGCAAATAAAATGAACAATAATAAGTGACTATAGTGTAATACTCGAAAAAATTGTGAGTACCTTTATGACAGATGTAAAGGTACTCTGACATCACTTACTATAGCTGTCAAATGGTCCCTCCAGGGGAGTTTACTGAATGCAGTGGGCCTGTGCAAGATCATAGGTTGGGCTCCTTGTGAGCCCACAACAAGGGAGAGCCATGTCACACTCCAGCCACCTCCATGTACAATTTGAACACCCACCATACAAAATACAGACTTTATAGACTTTCCTACTTTTATCGCCATCTGGCTACACATACAAAGAAAGCAGGAAAGTCTAACAGATAAGTTCAACACTGCACAATCATATAAAAGAATGAAACTTCCCCCATGAAATATGCTTTTCAGCCTACCTTACAGAAATAGTCTGTGACCCAGGGGCAGACTGACAACTCATGGGGCCCCCAGGCAATAGGGGATCATGGGGCCCCTGTGTCCTTGCCCAAACTCAAAAAAGCCTATGAAAAAGGTACCAGGGGCATCTCATGGGGCCCCCTACTGACCCAAGGCCCTCGGGCAGTGCCCGAGTTTCCAAATGGTCAGTCCGCCCCTGTCTGTGACAACCTAGCAACCTTTGCATCAGGTACCCCCATTCACAGCAGAACTCCCCCTTCACCTCAGGAGCCCCCCCTTGAAATCAAGAGCTCCCCTTCACATCAGTAGTTCCCCTTGTTCCCCCTTACATAAGAAGTCTACCCTTACATAAGAGGTGTCATTTCAAACAGTAGTGCTGCCTTTACATCAGGAGTCCCCTTACACTTGTGTCCCCTGTTACATTAGTGGCCCCCTTACATCAGTGTTCCCCCTTACATCAAAGTCCCCCCTAACATCACTGTGCCCCTTACTTCAGAGTTCCCCCCTTACATTAATGCTCCCTCCTTACATCAGGGTCTCCTCTTGCATCAATGTGCCCCCTTACATCAAAGTTCCCCTTCACATCAGCGTCCCCCCTTACCTCAGTGTGCCCTCTTACATCAGAGTCCCCCTCATTACATCACTCTGCCCCTTACTTCAGAGCCCCCCTTACATTAATGCTCCCTCCTTACATTGGGTCTCCTCTTGCATCAATGTGCCCCCTTACATCAGAGTTCCCCTTCACATCAGCGTCCCTCTACATCAGTGTGCTCTCTTACATCAGAGTCCCCCCTTACATCAGTGTTCCCCCTTACATCAAAGTCCCACCTTACATCACTGTGCCCCTTACTTCAGAGCCCCCACCCCCTTACATTAATGCTCCCTCCTTACATCAGGGTCTCCTCTTGCATCAATGTGCCCCCTTACATCAGAGTTCCCCTTCACATCAGCGTCCCCCCTACATCAGTGTGTCCTCTTACATCAGCGTCCCCCCTTACATCAGTGTGCCTTCTTACATCAGAGTCCCCCCTTACATCAGTGTACCCATTAAATCAGAGCCCCATGGTACAACAGTGTGCCTCTCTCTTCAGCATCTCTCTTACATCAGAGTTTCTGTTTCCCCTTACATCAGCATCCCCCCTTACTTCAGATTCCTCCCTTACATCAAAGCCCTGCTTTGCATCAGTGTCTCCCCTTACAACAGAGTGTTCTAGCATCAGTGTCTCCACTAAAATCAGAGTCCCCTTCGCATCAGAGTCTCCCCTTATATTGATGTCCCCTGTTACACCAGTGCCCTCCCTACATCAGAGTCCCCCGTTACATCAGAGTGTCCCAAGCATCAGTATCCCCCCTTACATCAGTGACTCTCTTACATCAGAATTCCCCCTTACATCAGAATTCCCCCTTACAATAGTGTTCTCCCTCACATCAGAGTCCCCCTTACACCAGTGTCCCCCCTTTAAATCAGTGTTCCCATCTTGCATCAATGTCCCCCTTACATTCAGCCTAAACAGGTCAGCATAGCTGTCCATCTGGTTTTTTATACATTTGATTTATTAACCACTTGCCTTCCAGAGGATTTACGCTACTTCCTGACCAGGCCAATTTTTGTGATACGGCGCTGCTTTACTTTAACTGACAATTGCCCGGTCATGCAACACTGCACCCAAATGACATTTATGGAGCTTTCTTTTAGTGATATTTGATTAACTCTGAGTTTTTATTTTTTGCGCTATAAACATAAAAAGACCGTCAATTTTGAGAAATAAAAACAATATTTTTGATATTTTGCTATTAAACATGTCCAGTAAAAATAAATAATTAAATAAATAAATTCAGGCCAAAATGTATTCTGCTCCATGTCTTTGCTAAAAAAAATCCCAATACGTGTAAATTAATCAGTTTACGTGAAAGTTATAGCATCTACATATGGTGGTATATATACTGGAATATTTTTTTATTTATACCAGTGATCAGCGACTTATAGCGGGATTGCGGGACTGCGGAGGGCATTCTGACACTAGGGGGGAACTGACTAACTGCCACTGATATCCCCAGGGACACTAATACAGTGATCAGTGCTAATAAAAAGCACTGACACTGTACTAATGACACTGGGCAGGAACGGGTTAACATCTGGGGCGATCAAAGGGTTAACTCTGTGCTGGGTGCTGTTTTACTGTGTGCTGTGTGTGCTCCACCTGTGTAAGCACATTGCTTTGTATTGCTCTGCTATGCAGAGCAATACAAAGCAGTGTGAAGAAGCTGACAGGGGAGAGATCTGTATTGTTTACACACAGGTCTCTCCCCTGTCAGTGATGCAATGGCGGCATGAGTTGGGCGACAGCGTGGCCCCTACCTGGAAATGCAAAATTACACATATCTATATATATATATATATATATATATATATATATAGATATATATGTGATTTTGCGCAGCCTTGCTGCCCTGTATCAGTATTTATGCTATAGGGTGATGCAAAAGCGGTTACAGGATACCGTGGATCTTTACTGGAGTGCTGACCTGTGTTCATACTAACATTAGTGTCCTCCCTTACATAAGTGCCCCCCCACCTTACACAGCATGGCTGTTGCAGCAGGGTGGGGGATGGGAGGCGGAGCTGAATCTGAATGGGGGAAGTTCTGTTGTCTTTTTGAAGGCTGGGGGATGGTGCAAGCACGTGATGTCATTGGTTGTTAGCAAGTGTACAATCCAAATGCACATGATCCTGCGTTAAAAATGGCGGTGTGTATAAGTGAGTGCTGCAGCGACCGTCGGCTGGAACCAAACAGAATTAGTAAGGGAAAATATCTCCAGCACACCGAGGATCACCAATACGGGTCCAAAAGTTTTAATGAATGATCACATAGTTACAGCAAGGCAACGTTTTGGAGTCTCGCAGGAACCCTTTGAAGGGGTCCTGTGAGACTCCGAAACGTTGCCTTGCTGTAACTATGTGATCGTTCATTAAAACGTTTGGACCCGTATTGGTGATCCTCGGTGTGCTGGAGATATTTTCCCTTGTCATTGGTTGTTAGGACACAAACAGGGGGATCCCTAGCCTCGGTGCTTCAGCGGTAACAAAAGCTACACAGAATGGATGTTTGAACTACAGCTCAGAGTGGACAGCATTATCACTTTGCTTTCAGTGTGTAAGAGCACAATGGGCCCCAATCCCTCCTAGGGCCCACACAATGCACAAATGAATGATACGCAACTGATTCCTGGAGGTCAGCTTTAATTTTAGGGGTTCTGGAATATTGCCTTACAAGAAGTCATCATGCAAGTGCATGTATAACTAGTCTGTACTAAAATATTGCTATGTAGCCCTCCTTTGGGAGGACTATTAGAAATGCCCCCCCCCCCCCCCCCCCCACAGTGCTCTTACCTGTAAACCTGTAGGTAATTAAGAAAACCAGAACTTTTGTTAGGTGAAAAAGTGAGATTGATAATAACCTTGGCAGTGCCTCCACCCAGGACAGGGCCTCTGTGGACAGAGGGGATTCCCTTCCTGGGAAATTAATCAGTAATCAAAACCAATAATTGTGAGCAGAACTACTGCAACCAGTATATAACATTAACAATGAGTATATAGATGCACTCCAGTGTAGAAATAATACAAACTTTATATAAGTAAAGATTCATAACAGTACATACATCCCATGAACAAATAGGTAGTATCAGCAAAAAGGCCCGATAGGAGTACTGGTGGAATTGTGCGTATACAGTCAGTATAGAAAAGAATCACCCTACTTTAAAATAATCACATTTTGTTGCTTTGCAGCATGAAATGAAGACAGACACAGTTTTTGTTTTATGCAGCTGTATTTAAGTGCAACTTATAACACCCAAGTGTAACACACTGCGCTGTTACTGTTTGCTGGATGTTGATTAACCACAAGATGGCCGTGTTTCACAGTTTAGCTATTACAGACTTGACTATAGTAAGGTATTGTTGAACATGTATGCTGAAGGTAGAACTGCTATGCCCGGACAGGCTGAAATCAGACTACATTTCCCAGAGGAGTTGGCGAAGGGGCGGGAGCCTATATAACCAAAAGCCCGGGAACTTCCTGGAGGGAGGAAAGAGACTGTGTGAGCGTGAGGACTGAATTGAATCAGGGAGCTGGAAGGAAGGACTACAGATAGCTGATGTTACTGATAAATAGGAGAGCTGACCCTGCAACCAAACAGATTGTGGAATTGTTCCCGATATCGTTTCATTCTCAGAGGGACCAAGAGAACAAGGGGGCCCCCACAACCAAAAGACTGTCTTCTTTACCAGATATCCCACTGTTTTCTCAGTTATATCAGTGCAGTACACTTTGCATCACAGTCTACCACTCTAAACACAGGTTTCTTAGCCCAATTCAGTACTGCGGCCTACAGCTTCAGTCACCCCCCCCCCCCCCATTGCTCTGAACACAGGACTACTGCTGTAGCACATGTGGACAATGACACTGTTAATACCTCAATTCCACCATATTATAGCCATAAAGGAACTTCATTAAGCCAATTACCTACCTATTGGAATACAAATTCTAGTGGAGTCTACTCCCTACCCTTCCTCATCTATACTTATTCTTGCCTTCACCTACTTCCATTAAGGGACCTTTTTTGTAAATCTGCTTCCATCAGTCAGGGAAAATTTTTCCTACTGTGTGTTTCCTTTTTCAACAAATCCTGCTCTCAAGCACAAAAGACCTCAACCTTAATGTGCACCAACTAGGGCCCCAACAAGCACGCAGAAGAGTTATTTTCTTTTATATTCTGGGGTGATATTAAAGGGGACATTGACATCTGTATATTTATCTTCCAAATTAAATCCTGTTTCCAGACATTGAGAACCCTAAAGTGAGTTAGCCAAATTCTTGATAACAGATTTCAGCTAATTTTTGGGAAAGATATCTCATTGCGAAGATTGATGTTTAACCTCTTGTCCTGCAGGACATTTTGGGTTTGTTGATCATTTGGCTGAGCCTTGAAGAATGTGTAACTGCTGTACACTCTTACTGTTATCTCTTTTGTGCTTGTACTATTTATTTTACTTTGATCTCAATATTCAAAATATTGGTTCACCCTAAACTGTGTGATTACTTTGTGTTCCAGGCCAGGATATTTTCCTGGTCAAGGTTTTAGGATGGTGTCAGCAGGGGCTGTGCTTACAAATCAGGCTTAGAACAGACAGGGAACCCAAAAATATTCAGTGGCTCTTAAGGGGGCAGCTCTACACAAGTGAAAGGTGTAACACCAGCATGTCAGAATTAAAAAAAAAAAAAATCAAAAACAGAATCACTGAATTGGAAAAAGGATCACCCCCCCTCCTAAAAATGACTTGTAAACTCAGTCAGGTGTAGCTAATCACCTTCTCATTGCCACACAAACATGCTTTACTTTTAACTGTGATCAGCTGTGGTTATTTTTATTAGCTCAGCATGAAAAGAGCTTTCCTGAAGCATTTCAGTCCCTAGTAGTGCAACTGAAGCAAACAATCAATAGGGATGCACCAATACCAATACCGGTATCTGTATTGGTGCCGATACCAAGTACTTGTACTAGTACGTGAAAATGCTCCTGATATCCGAAACCAAAATTTTGTTGTGCAATTTGTGTCCATACAAAATGTATGGACACAAATTGCACCGTAAAGAATAGCATGCAATTTGAACAGGAATGTGATTGCGGTTTCTCTTCTGTCTCTGTGTGAACCCTGGCTTGTTCACACAGGAGCAGTGCGGGAAACTTCCGTGCACCAACCCCATGCTGTCACAGAAGGAAAAGCCCCTTCATAAGTCTGGGGATTTGAAATCCCTGTGGATTTCTCTCCTCTCCGTGCATGGATGACAGAATGAGGAAGATGGATTTTGATTGATCAGCACCGTTACAGTGCTGACCAATCAGAAGCCATCTAGCCCATACTGTCATCCCTGCAAGGAGAAGAGAGAAAGCCATGAGGATTTCAAATCCCCATACCATCCCCATACCTGTGAAGCAACTTTCTCTACTCTCCTTGCAAGGATGACAGTATGGCCTAGATGGCTTCTTATTGGTCACCATGACAGTGTTGACATCTAGCCTATACTGTTATCCCTGCACAGAGAGGAGAGAAAACCATGGGGATTTCGAATCCCCAGACCTGTGAAGCTTTTTTTTCTTTCTATGACAGCATGGGATTGGTGCATTCTTTCTATGACAAGCCTGGGTTCACACAGCAGCAGTGGAGAAACCACATGTGAGTTGGACAGCACTCACATTCCTGTTCAAATTGCATACTATTCTTTGCGGTGCAATTTGCATCAACACATTTTGTATGGACGAAAATCACACCGAAAGTATCTCTACTCATACTTGTCAATCAAAAGAGGATATCAGTGCATCCCTACAATCAACTCTGTGTGGCAAGGCGCTGACAAAAGATCTCCGGGATAAAGCTGTGGACAGGCAAGTCAGGAGATGAATGCAAAAAAATTGCAAAGGCTTTATCAATGCCTTGAAGCACAGTGATGTCTATCATTATGAAGCGGAAGGTATTTGGTACAACACAGACCCTCCCTGGACAAGGATGTCACTCCAAACTGGATGAAAGCCAGGAGCAAACTGGTCAGAGAGTCTACCAAGAGGCCTACACCAACTATGAAGCAGTTGCAGGAATTTACGACAAAGAGTGGTCATTGTGTGCATGTGACAACAATAGCAGAAATTCTCCACAAATATGACTTGTATGGGAGGGTTGCAAGCAAAAAACCCAGTCTTCAAGAAAGACCAGATGCAGTAACGACGACTGAGCTTTGCCAATGGCCTTGCATGGCCTAGTCAGAGCCCAGACTTAAACCCCATTGAAAATCTGTGGAATGACTTGAAGACTGCAGTCTACAGTCACCATCAAATTTAACTGAACTTGAGCAGTTCTGCCAAGAAGAGTGGGCAAATATTGTATAGACGTGCAAAGGTAATAGAGACATATCTGAACAGACTAAAGGCTATAATTAAAGCAAAAGGTGGTTCAACAAAATACTGACACAAGGGGGTGATCCTTCATCCAACTCAATTATTCTGTTTTTGAATTTTTTTAATTTCTTTCAGACATGTTGGTGTTATATCCTTCACTTATATGTTATAAGTTGCACTGAGTAAAAACAGATGGATAAAACAAAAACTGTGTCTTCATTTCAGACTGCAAAGCAACAAAATGTGATTATTTTAAAGGGGAGTGATTATTTTCTATACCCACCGTATATCTGGGTATATATAGTTAATAACAGAGATACCTCCAGATAAATGTTGCAACTAAGTCCTGTTACAGTGGCCTCTGAGCATGATGCGTTGTCTGCCTTTGTGTTGGAGACCTGAAGACAAGATCAGCAGTCATGG